TGTTTGTGCCACTTTTTTGGTTATAAATTCTCCTCAATTTCTATTAATTTGTTTCAAAATTAGCTACCGAAACGCGATTTCTGCAATGACGCCGTTTAAGAACAAAACCAAGAGAAGTCTGCATCGGCTAAAGTGTCCTGTACCGCAAATGCTCGTTTCGGTTTCAGAGACATGAAAAAATTATTTCTAATCCCCCTTAATGGAATGCAAGTTCTTCGCAGGAGTATCTTAAATGAATTCACTGATGCATAAAACCCGTATTTTCCGCGTCAAAACAAAACAAGCAAAAATACATCAAAGAAACTTCAAAGGTTTACTACTCCGTAAACACTGAAGTAGCGTAACCAGGAGCGTAACCAATCATTCATCAGCAAGCCACGACATATGCATCAAACACCGTTTGTTCGTTTATAACATTTGAGTTTTTTCTAATATAAGGCCCGTCGCATTTTAGCCATCGAGTCACCAGGAGACAATGCTTCATTGTGATGTTCCTGAACTGTTTAGCTCGCAAAAAAGACCCGTTACGCTGCATATATTAATTTTTTGTTAAACACCTAGCCAGACGTACACGAGCTCATATTTCTAACAGAAGTCAGACGTTGAGGCCAGGAAATAATCCATTTCTCTCTGGCATCGCATTTTCCCATTGGGCGTCTGTATTCCTCGTGGAATTTTCAGTTTTGGTTTTAAGAGCTAATTCTCAAGGTGAGTTGCTCTGTAAATCTAAAAATCTAGTTTTCATTCGAAGAGTGGGCTATAAAAATCAAAATGAATTTCGCGACTCTTTATAGAAGTTAGTATCAAATTTAGTACCTATCATTAAATATTTCAAGATACCTACCATCTAATATGGGAATCAGGAACTTTTACTATGTTTTTGTCGCTAATGCCTCTTCTTCGGTCAGTCTTAGAAAGTTAAATCATGAGTGCGACCTCGCTATTCTTACACATTGTATCGGCTATTCGGGAAAAAATACAAACGAATATCTCTACTGACAACATGAATGTTCGTTTGTAGTAATGTATCCAATTATTTATTTAATATTTAAGGACGTTCGCGCGAAAATTTTTCAGTCGATAGATTTTTTTAAAAATTCTTTTGTGCAGTCAGATAATGAGTTACTTGCGTCAGAAATGCAAAAAAATTGGGGGTCACTGACTTCGTTTCACAGATAAAGCGTGTGGAAAACTACCCTGATTTTGAAAAATTGGCGCACAAAATTCAGTATGGTCTACAGGGGTTTATAGTTAAAAATATCGAAGGTGAGTCAACGGAGCCAAACAATCTTAGTCATAATTTGTAGAAGTGGATCTGTTGCGTAAATAATTCCAAATGTTAACAACGTTTTCACAAAACTTAACCCTTCAAGAGGCATTTGAAACCGTCGATAAACGTAGAGCTAAAAAGAACGGAATTCGATGATGCATTTTGCAAAAATTTCAAACTTCTAGTCGATAGATTTTCTTCATTTTTTCGCTAAACATAGAAAATC